AGCAAGATGGCAGCTGGAGGACCACAGCGGGTGGGGCAGCAGAACGGGTGATCCCACATTTGCATGCAGATAAACTGGGAGGAACAACTGGGAAGAGAGATAGACAGCACAACCAAGGGTTCCAGTGCAGGGAAATAAAGCTTCAAAACCTCTGACTGAAAACACCTGTGAGTGTTGCAGTGGCAGGAGAAACTCCCAGCCTCACAGGAGAGTTTGTTGGAGAGACCCACAGGGTCCTGAAACATACACAAAACCACCCTCCTGGAAATCAGCACCAGAAGGGCCCAATTTGCTTGTAGGTAGTGGAAGAAGTGACTCAAAGTTGGCCAAGAGCCAAGCGAGCAGCATTGTTCCCTCTCAGACCCCTCCTCTACAGACAGCGTCACAACTCAGCAACATGGGCTGTCCTGCCCTGGCAAATACCTAAGGCTCCGCCCCTTACTATGTAACATGTGCCCCTGACCAAAAGAAAAATGGGCCAAATGAAAAACCAGATCAAAGCTCTAGAAAAAATACAACTAAGCAATGAAGAGATAGCCATCCTATCAGGTGCACAGTTCAAAACACTGGTATGCTCACAGAACTGGTTGAGTATGGTCACAAAATAGAGGAAAAGGTGAAGGCTATGCAAAGTGAAATATAGGAAAATGCACAGGGAATCAACACTGAAGGGAAGGAAACCAGGACTCAAATCAACAATATGCAGCAGAAGGAAGAAATAAACATTCAACCAGAACAGAGTAAAGACTGAAGAATTCAAAAAATGAAGAGAGGCTTAGGAAACTCCGGGACTACTTTAAACACCCCAACATCTGAATCATAGGGGAGCCAGAAGGAGAAAAGGAAGAGCAAGAAATTGAACATTTGTTTGAAGACATAATGGAGAACTTTCCCAATCTGTGAAAGGAAATAGACTTCCAGGAAGTCCAGGAAGCTCAGAGAGTCCCAAAGAAGTTGGACCCAAGGAAGTATTCACCAAGGCACATCATAGTTACATTAGCCAAGATTAAAGATAAGGAGAGAATCTTAAAAGCAGCAAGAGAAAAGGAGAGAGTTACCTACAAAGGAGTTCCTGTAAAATTATCAGCTGATTTCTCAAAAGAAACTTTGCAGGCAATAAGGAGCTGGAAAGTAGTAATCTGAAGTCATGAAAGGCAAGGACCTACATCCAAGTTACTCTATTCAGCAAAGCTATCATTTATAATGGAAGGGCAGATAAAGTGCTTCCCAGAGAAGGTCAAGTTAAAGGAGTTCATCATCACGAAGCCCTTATTATATGAAATGTTAAAGGGATTTATCTAAGAAAACAAAGATGATCAAAAATACGAACAGTAAAATGACAACAAACTCACAACTATCAACAACCGAACTAAAAAAGCAAAAACAAACTAAGAAAACAACTAGAACAGGAACAGAATCAGAGAAATGGAGATCACATGGAGGGTTATCAGTGGGGAGAGTGAGGGGGGAAAATGGGGTAAAAAAGTACAGGGAATAAGAAGCATAATTTGTAGGCACAAAATAGACAGGGGGAGGTTAAGAATAGCATGGGAAATGTAGAAGCCAAAGAACTTATATGTATGACCCATGGACATGAACTAGGGGGGGAATGTAGATGGGAGTGGGGTGCAGGGCAGAGGGGAATAAAGGGGGTGAAATGGGACAACTGTAATAGCGTAATGAATGAAATATATTCTTTTAAAAAGTAAAACAAGACATGTAAGGTGAAGTGAAAAAATAAACTTATTAGTATAAAAAACAAAAAACTAAATATGTAATTATTAAAATAGAAAAATGTTTAAAATTTTTATCTCCAATCATCTCACAGGCTACTACTAGCAGGACCCATATGCCACCCTAGAAGCTCTGCTCTGAGAGATGTGGGCTCTCTCTCCTCCCAGGAGGTGAATTAGCATTTCAAATACTCTGACCAGAAATGTTTATTCTAAGGTTGGTGGCTCCAAGTCAAATGTGTCTCAATTTGCAGGAAAAAAATAATAAAGTAAGGGTTTTTTTAGTTCATTTTAATTAACTCGAAGTGCTTTCTGATTCCTGTTTTTCTCCATGCTGGCCTCTTTTTTTCAGATAAATCTTTATTCCTACCTCTTTCTCATCAGCCGACTTCAGCTCCATCATGTACACTCAACCCTCAGGCTCCATCAGCTGGACAGTTTGGGGGTTTTCCTTCCATCTTGATCCTCCCCACACTGTTGACATTACAACTCTCTTCATTTATAGAAACATGATTATTCTCCAGAAAACTCTGAATACAATAACAACCAAAACATAGATCCTGTTTTGTTTTGTTTTGTCTTGTTTTGTCCTGGAGGATAATGCTATTGAGTTGTCCTAGGTACATAAACCTCTAGCACAGATGCCATCTCCACTCTGAGGGTGAGGATCTCAAAGACCTTGGGTCCGAATTAACAGGTGTTACAAGTTTGCCTTACCCTAGAACAATTAGTATACCCTGTTGATGCAAGGTCGGGCTCCTTGTGTAGTATTTCTAGCCAGCGTATCTTGAACCCCACTCATTTTGCCAGTGAAAAACAGACTTGTTGGGTGATCCAGTGGGAGTCTCAATTTTGATTGAAGATGAATGTTTTGGCCACCCTGGCAAGTGGGAATGGAGAAGCAATTTAATGAGATTTAGAAAAAATAAACAGTTGTGATGCTTCTTGAATTGGAGTGTTGCAGAGCAAAGTAATACCTTTTAGTCTCACAGGAATTAAGCCGCCGTGGTCAGAGGACAAGCAGCGATATTGGCAATTTCGCAGAGAAGTCTCTGCTGGATGCTCTGTCACAATGCAAAGCAGCCACTTACTCGGCCTATTTATAAGCTAAATGTGCTGATGACTCTGCTTTTTACATCTTGTACTTTTCTGGAGACATAAATATTTACATTTGTGAAGACATTTGCAAAAACACTTTCACGTATCTATTCTCTTAGAGACCTCAAATCAAGCCAGGGCTGGCCATACATCTTACGGACAAAGACATGAGACTCAGGGATGTTGGAAAGTCAAACAAGGTCATACCAACAGAACCAGAGAAAAAACTCAGATGTCACTGCTCCGTACCCTCCATACCCTGTCACTTTGCTATGCAGGCCCCAAGGAATCCAATTCCAAAAGAAATTCTTGTTGGGCCAAATTGCGTTCCTCTTGTGTTCTCATGCCGAGGACTGAGGATAGCTCCACTGCCCGGTCACCTAAACTGAAAATTGTGGCATCTTCCTAGACATCTCCCACTCTGTCATTATCGTACTCTTTTTAACCTCTGAGATCTGTCCCTTCTCTCTGTACACACTGCTGCTGTCCTCACCATTTCTCGCCAGGATCCTTGTAATAGTGTTTCAACTGGGCTTTTTGCCTGTAGTTTAGGAACACCTCTCAACTCAGTTATCCACTACCCAGCTGCCTGGGTGAGTTTTCAGTATGCAGTTCTGAACACACCACCCCCTTGATTAAAAGTCTTTAAAAGTTTCTCATATACACTGGAGTCTAATCTCTCTCTCTGTCTCTCTCTTTCTCATACACACACAGATAACTAGATGCTCCCCTCTTAATAAATTGCATTCACTTTTATGAATATGCCAGATATTTTTGCCTGTTTATCTTCCTTGGAAGGGTATTCCCTCCTGCACTAACCAATACCATTTATAACTCAAGACCCAGCTTTAAGATTACATCCCCTCGGAAGCTTTGCCTGATTTTCCGATAGAACTCACATTCCCTCTCTCTTGGTCACCTTATATCCTATACATACTTCTGCTTCGGGGGCCTGTGATGCCTTATCATACCCACTTACTTACTTTCTATTTCCTGCAAAACTTGAGTTCCTAGCAGGTAGAGAACTATCTTAATTATCTTTGTATATCCAGTGTCTAGTCTATGGCCATACCACCCTGAACATACCCGATCACGTCTGTATATCCAGTGTCTAGCGTGGAATAAACACATTGTGAATTACCTAATCATTTAATTCATTTCTGTAGTAATTTATGTGATGGTCTGTGGGCCATCACAAACCATGTATGTCGTTTCCCCTTCCCTCCTACTTCTCTACCCAGATGTACTGGTGATTACTCACCAGTGATTTTCAGACCAGGTCTCTTCTCTGTTAGATGAGGTTAAAGAAACCCTAGAGCCACTCAGAAATTTGTTCGGTAAATTTGCCCAGTAAATAGGTAACCCTCTTTTTCAAGGAAAAAATAAAGCCCATAAATGATCAGTCTTACTTGACTTTTACCCAATAAATTCCAACCCTAAGGACTTTATTGAGCAGTTGAGGGAAGTTTGTTCACCCAATCATGCGCTTTACCAATTTATGCCTCCTTACTTATGTTGGGGTTTTTCTTTCCATAGTAAATTATTGATTCTAGATGAAGGAACCAGAATGCATATACACCATCTACAAGGAGCAACAAGGACATTGATTTGTCCAAACCTGAAGTTTCATTTTAGGAAGCTGTGAGAAATAAGCCTGGTTAGGAAAGGCCAGGTGTGAACAATTATACGTTAGCACTCCAAGAGGGCTTAGAAATCCGCCTGGCCGAAGTTTCCCAGAGTGGGGCCTACAAATCATCATGGCAGAGTGTAGTCTGATTTTATATATATGCAGAAACCTTTTTCATTTTAATTATGTGCTTATATATGTATATTAGAAAAAGTCATCATCACATCTATCCCATGATTTCCTAGATATTATAGACAAGACTTATTTTTAAAAAAGGACTTAGGTAAACAAATGAGTCAATTTAGAGGGAAAATGTAGAGAAAGTAATTATGTAAGAGAAAAGTCAACAAGGCAAGTATCATGAAGGTGTTACCCAAGTGACTGAAGCTGGAGAAATGCTGAGCTAATACAACACCTCTTCATGTCTCAGGCAAGGGAATCAAGACCCAGAGAAGCTCAATAACATGCCCCAGGTCAAGCACGTGGAGGATCTGGAAGGCAACATGGTCGGTTCAGTAATGACTGAGACACTGACTAGTGTATGCAATTTCAACTTAATTAATTTTTTTAAAGTTTTTATTGTTAAATGAAAATATTTAAAAAATAATTTTAACTCCAGGAACCCCCTGAGGGTGGAGAGGAAAGGCAGGAGAGAGGAGGAAATCCTCATTACATCACCTTGGCTGTCCCCACAGGAGCCACGCCCTGCTACTTCTGCTTCCGAGGCGGTGGAAAACTCCCGCACTGGAAACCCTTGCTAACGGCATCCTGAAATGCTCAGTGATTCTGTGCTGTCCTCACTGTTCCGCTTCATCACACTCGAAGTTTTGCCGGCTGGGATTTTTGCTGTCTTGGCAAACAGGATGATGGTGTCAAACCTAATGTTTTCTAAATTTTTGCGGAAAATGCTGGGAAGACTTCCATGGAGGCCTATTGTCAATTACCTGGAACAAGAGAAGTTTGCAGATGTTAGAAGCAAGAACTGGGTGGGGTAAGGCTCTGGGTTTTAATGAGAAGCATTCATATTAGAATGTTGGCTATTTCCTACAGCTTGCTAAAAATAACCTGGGTGCCTGCTTCCTTCTCTCGCACTGCATTTTCAGTGTCTGCTCACACTGGAGACGCAGGAGGGCTGGAAAATGCTCCTTGGATTCAACACCAGTGCTGTTTGTTCAGACGATGTAATTTAGCTTTGACCTGCTCTCTTACACACCAGTGGGCATGCTGCCTCAGGCTTCTGTTAGATCTACACCTGAGGAAGCTTGAAGCTGATAAGGGAGGTACACACACCAGGCCCTGTGATTTTGCCTCTTAAATTTCTCTTTCCAGCACTGCCACCTACGTAGCCCAAGTGACCATCATTTCTTGCCTGAGCTACTAAAGGCTCCTGTCTGCTCTTTCTACCTTGAATCTACCCCTTTCCTCTAACCCCTAATCACACTGTAGCCAGAAAAATCTTTTCCAACACGAATCTGCCCACTCCCATGCCCACCATCTCCAATTAAAACAGCTCAATGGTCTCCCATTGCTTGTATGATAAAGACTAGAATCCTGGACATGGTCTTCAAGCAAGGTTCTTCCTGATCTGTGCCCTTGAACCCCTCCAGTCTCACTCTCCCTACTCCAATCCACTGTCCTTACTCCAGTGCCTTCTGCCCACTAGCCTCACTACCCAGCTTACTCCCTTCCCTCCCTTCTTTATCTACCTAACTCTTCCTCCTCATTCAGATCTAGCATTAACTCTCCCATCAGTAGCTCCATGAGGGCAGGAACCCCATCTGTTTGCTTACCCTGTATCCTCCACATGTAATACCATGCACGGCAAAGACAGGACACTCACTGCTTGTTGAAGAATGCAAATGTTAATCCCCTGGCTGGCCCAAGCCACCCTTTCATGCAGAGGTCCTTTCTAAGAGAAAGAAAAGTCTGGCCACATTGAACTACCGCACCTCCTCCACCTCACCTGGCCAGTGGACTCTCTGGTTTCCCATCTCTTACTGTCCTCACCTCAGTCTTTTTGATGGGAATTCTCTGTATACACTAGGTTGAGGGTTTTTTTCCCTGAATTTCCCTAAAGTGCTGAAATACATTAGTATTATGCTTTTCAGTATAAACTGGTCTGACTTCTGCCTGGATCTTCTGTAGGAAGGGTCCTTAAATAAACCACATTGCCACTCTCAATTTCTCTTTTCAAATGGAAGATCTCATATATCATTTTCCTCATTGAGTTAAAAATACACATTTTTTAACATCTCCATGCAGCTGAAGTCATAGACGCTCACTCATGTTATGGAGGAGTTGTAGGGAAAGAAGGACAGAGGGAGAATCAATGGTATAGAAGGAGGTGACTCAACAATTTCTCCATGAAGCTTTATGCAATCTGTCTCCTGAGTGGGGGAGTGGGGAGAGATGGGGAAGGTAAGACAATGGCAGGACCTTCAAGGCAAAGGAAGGTTAGGAGAAGCTGATGTAAAAGGTGAGATTACCTTCCTCCCCCACTCTGCCCACACCTATATCTGACCTTCAGTGGACCAGTCCTGAACTTTAGAGTGAGGTGGGCCAGGGGCAAGAGGAAAGAACAGTGGCCCCCAACTGTCCCCACCCCAGCACCCTGCTTACCACCTTTCCTGGAGAAGCTGTGTTCAGCATCTGACGCTTTTGGAAATCTAGCCCAGCCTGTGATGAGGGAGTTGTTATTGGCCCATTTCTGAATTCTAGCTTGTGTTTTCATGTGACGATTATTGCGAGGATATGCGAAAGTCCAAGAGAAGTCGGTAAACACTGGGAAGTTTATCTGCATGTTCTGTGACAGCTGGGCCCACTTCCACATGCCAAATGTTCGGGGAAGGGTCAGATCAAGGCTGCAGATGGTTGCTGGCAGGGAGATACTATTTTGGAGGCACAGGTCATGGGAAAGTCTTACAGTTTAAAGTTAGCTTCTGTGCTTCTCCCATAACTTTTCTTTTAGCCTCATGTATCACAATCATCAACAGTCCTATCAAATTTGAAGAAGTCATTGGATATCTTTGTTGAAAAGTCTTGATATGACTCTGCCGTAGAAGACCACAGGATAAATGGACTTGTCTTATAGAATAAGGGCAGGCAGCCTAAGACTTCTCATAGAAGGAAAACGTTTAAACATCTTATTCTGTCCTGTTTCGGTATAGAGTTTTCAACTTCTGATCAAGGCTGAGTTTTAGGAATTCTGTGTTTCCTTCAAAAACTACAGCTGCAAAAAATACAAAAGAATACACATCAATGTGCTTCATTCAAAAATATAAGTTCCAATTTTCAAAGAGCAAAGAGCTGGGTTTTGAGATGGTTCATCTGGGGAAAATGGCCCAGCTAAGTGAACGACAGGGAAAGCTCAGGGTCACACTGGCAGATGGGAAATCTGTGTTGTTCTATTGTTTCTTTTTTAAAAAATTACTTTATTGTTGTTCGATTACAGTTGTCTGTATTTTCTCCCCACCCTGCCCCCAACCCCAGCCAGACCAACCTCCCTCCTGTTTCCACCACCCCCCTAGTTTTTGTCCATGTGTCTTTTATACTTGTTCCTGTAAACCCCTCCCCTTTTCCCTTGAAATTCCCTCCCCTCTCCCCTCTGGACACTGTCAGCCTGTTCTCAATTTCAGTCTTTGGTTATATTTTGCTTGTTTGTTGGTTTTGTTGATTAGGTTCCCATTAAAGATCATATGGTATTTGTCTTTCACTGCCTGGCTTATCTCACTCAGCATAATGCTCTCCAGTTCCATCCATGCTGTCACAAAGGGTAGGAGCTCCTTCTTTCCTTCCACTGCATGGACTTCCATTGTGTACATGTTCTGTTGTTTCTCATTCATCTTCTTTCCATGGGTGGGAACAGAAACTGATCAAAGGCACAGTGACCCAAGGGTTTGGGAGAAGAGCAGGAAGCAATCACGGATGAGGGGCTGGTGCTAGGGCTCTGGATTTCAAACGTTAGTGCATAACAGAGCCACCTGGGAGCACTGTAAAAATGTGCATTGTCAGATCTCCGTGACATGTGGCCAGGCATCTGCATTTTCAGTGGGCATCACGTGTGGTTCCAAAGCAGCCTGGGAGAAAGCTGCTAGAATAGCTATTAAAATACACTAAGGGGGGAAATGGATAATTGTATACAGAATACATTATATTGTTAAAAGCTTAGGGATAGAAGACAAATATTAGGTAAAATACAAATCCCAGAAAAATTGTAGGACATTAGAAAGTTGAGTTCCAGTTAAGCATCAAGCAAGGCCATGGTTGGCTTAGCTTTAGAGTAGCTGAAAATTGGTAGATTAGGTACCAAATATTTGTTGTTAAGTGAGAGAAAACCCAATTCAAACTGGCTTCAGAAAAAACAAAAAGCAAAACAAAAATGTATTGGTTCTTGTCAAAGGAAAGTATAGTGGAAGAGTCGGTCTCCAAGAAATTCAGGGGCTTGGACTTCATTGAAACTCAGTTTTTCTGCCTTTGCCTCTGGAATACTTGATTCCAAGGCTGGAGAAAAGAGAACTACTCTTTCCAGGATATTCCAGGAAAAAAAATATTTCAGGATTACCTTTGAGTGGTCTAGCTGGAGTCACATGACTACTTTTAAAACAATCTCTCTGGTCAGGGATTAAAATACAGTATCGTTTAGATCTGTATCATTTTCCTACCCTTAGATCTTGGGAGAGAAGTGGCAGATGGATAACCAGACCCCATGAATTGAAAGTACAGGGGGAAAGGAAGATAGTATCTTAAAAAAAAACTCAGAATGTCCTTCTCAGAAAAAGACAAATAAATGCTGGGTAGCAGAAGCTATAGTAGTTCACTACAACAGGTGAGAAATAGTCTCATCTGTTTAATTTTACAAAAACACTTTCCTGCTGGGAAGAGACATCCCCATAACTCCTGGATGAAAAAACCAGCAGGGATTGTGGCTCAGTGGGACAGAGGGCTGTGTTTCCCTTGAAGGGCCCCCACACAGATTTACTCATGTTCACTTGCTCTGAACTCCAGCACTGGGGCAGCTGCTTGAAAGGCACTAGGGATATGTGGGAAGGAACTGAATCGTCTGGCATCGGGGTGAGAGCTGGAGGGGCAGCTTTCTCCCAGAAGAGCTAACAGAGGCCACTGTTCCTTTTCTGAGCCCTCCCCTAACAGAGTCAGCAGATGGGCACCATATCTGAGTCTCTATCAACCTGGCTAACATTGTTCACCCAGTCATGGTGACACCCTGAGATCCCGCCCCCACCGGACTCCTGAGCCTACCCAAGCTGTTGCCAGTGGCATTTTTCCATACTAACACCCTGTCTCGGCTCATGCTTCAGACTTTTCTAAAATCTCTCAACAAGCAGCGTCTGGCTGTGGCCTACTTTTTACCTCTTGCTAAGTGGCCCCAGGCCTGGTGCTAGTGGCTGTAACCTTGGTAAACAGGTTGTCCTCTCTTGGGCACCACCAGCCCAACACAAGTAGCAGCCATCTACAGATTGCTTTATAGCTCATGCTGTGTGACCCCAGGCAGGACACAGGTGGTGAATGACCTTGACCTGCACCTCCCAGGAGGCCCGTGTGCCACCTCCCCAAGCAACACACTCCAGATGAAGACTCAGCAGGGACTAGAGCCCCACTGAACTAAGTCCTGCTCCATGGGGTCAGCTCCTGCATAGCTGTCCTCCACAGTGGTCATAGCCAGTCCTCAGCCAATCAACCTGGGGACAAATCCCTCCCATTGACATGCCAACAGCAATCAAGTCTCAACTACAAGAAGGGTGTACACAGCCCATACAGGGGGAATACCTGGAGTGCTCAGCTGAAGTGCCCTGGGAGACTATGCCACTGAACTCTACAGGACACCTCTACATAAAACCACTCTACCAAACCCAGGAGATGTAACAGCTCTACCTAATACAGGGACACAAACACAACAAAGTTGTCAAAATGAGGAGACAAAAAAAAAAACATGTCCTAAATGAATCAAAGAACAAAACCCCAGAAAAAGAACTAAACACAGTGGAGACAAGCCATCTACAAAAAGCAGACTTCAAAATACAGTTTATAAGAATCCTCAGTTACTTCAGGGAGAACATCAACAAAGATAGGAAACATAAAAATGGAACTAGGAAACATAAAAAAACAGTCAGAAATAAATAATACATTAATTGAAATGAAGAATATATTACAGGGAATCAGCGATGGAGTAGATGAAGCAGAGGCTCAAATCAGGGATTTGGAAGATAAGGAAGCAGAAAACACCCAATCAAAACAGCAGAAAGAAAGAAGAATTAAAAAAAAATAATGACGGTATAAGGATCCTCTGGGATAACTTCCAAGTCACCAGCATTTGCATCATGGGGGTGTGAGAAGAAGAGAGACAGCAAGAAATTGAAAACCTGTTTGAAAAATAATCACAGAAAACTTCCCTAGCCTGGTGAAGGAAACAGACATAAAAATCTCCAAAGTGCAGAGTCTCAAACAAGATAAACCCAAAGAGGCTCACACCAAGGCATCATAATTAAAGTGCCAAAGGTTAAAGACAAAAAGAGAATCAAAAGCAGCAAGAGAAAAGCAGTTATCTACAAGGGAGCTACAATAAGACTGTCAGCTAATTCTCAACAGAAACTTTGCAGGCCACAAAGGACTGGCAAGAAATTAATTTAAAGTGATGAAAAGCAAAAACCTACTACCAAGATTACTTACCCAGCAAAACTACTTAGACTTGAAGGACAGATAAAGGACATCCCAGACAAGTAAAACGTAAAGGAGTCTATCACCACCAAGCCAGTATTACAAGAAATGTTAAAGCATCTTCTTTAAGATGGGATGGGGTGGGGGATCAGGAGATGCTTGAAAAAGGTGAAGGGACTAAGAAGTACAAATTGGTAGTTACAGTCTAGTTACAGGGATTTAAAGTACAGCATAGGGAATATAGTCAATAACATTGCAATAAATATATGTGGTATCAGATGGGTACTAGATTTATTGGGATGATAAGTTAGTAAGTTATATAATGTCTAATCTCTGGGTTGTACACTTGAAACTAATATTATATTGTATGTCAACTGCAATTGAAAAATAAAAAATTATTTAAAATAAAAAATTAAATTATATCTTAAAAAAAGATTCAATCCCCTAAAGCACCTACATGACCAATAACCATACAAAATCAAATTCCTATTATCAAGTAGAAGGGTTATTGTGTGACTAATCAATAGCTTCTATGACCAAGACCAAGCAAAAAACTAAGAAGTGATGGTAAGATTGGAGACTGACCCAAGCAGTTTTGAGGGAGTCATACAACTCTCCCCTTAAGGGTGTCCTGGCTTTCAACCACCAGAGCTATCCCTTTGGCATCTGAGTCGAGTATATTGACTGTAAAATATCTTTGTTAAAATGTACATATATTAATTACAAAGAAGAAAGACCAATGGATTGCGGTTAGGTAAGACGATCATATACTTAGTGTTCCTTTCAATGTTTCCAGTACCCTAACTGGCACCATACATAGTTATCACAATATTATTGACTATTATTTCCTGCACTTCACTTCCTTTCTCATGATGATTTTGTAACTACCAATTTGTGCTTCTTAGTCTCTCCACCTCTTTCACCTAATGCCCCAACCACCCTCCCCTCTGGCAACCACCACTTTCTCTCTGTATTTATGAGTCTATTTCAATGTTGTTTGTTGATTTATTTTGTTCTTCAAATTCCACATATGAGTGAAATCATATGGTATATTTCTTTCTCTGACTGACTTATTTCACTGGGCATAATACCCTCTTGGTCTATCCATGCCGTCACAAATGGTAAGATTTAATT